TTGTTATGCCGGGGGCGCTAGGGGAAACAAGGTCTCTCCCAAACCCTTCTGGTCCCCCCTAGTGAGTTTATAGACTGTCACCAGGTCCCCCCTCAGCCTTCTCTTGTGAAGGCTGAACAGGTTCAGGTCCCGCAGTCTCTCATTGTAGGGTCTGCCCTGTAGTCCCCGGATCATGCGGGTGGCCCTCCTCTGGACCCTCTCAATGTTGTCCACATCCCTCCTGAAGTGGGGTGCTTAGAAATAAGGATTTCTACAGCCTAAAGAGGCCAGCCACAGAATTTAGCACAGCCTTAGCATGTATTCATATGTCTTCCCTGTGTATTTTTGGGTAATTGAGAGAATCTCTGTAGCCCATCTGGTTTCTTATCTTACCTTACCCTATTCTGAGTAGCTGAAGCATTCTGCAGTTTATTGTACCTATTGCCATAAGAAGGCTTAGAAGCTCACTTTTTAAAATGGCAGTATTTGTCACATGGTACCCTGGCAAAAGTTCACAAGGATTGATGGATTTTATTGCATTCTGATAGTGAATACATACCCAAGCATGCCTTTTCCCCTTTCAGATTTGATTTTATACACTAGCTTGCCAAGATCTTTTGCATATATTCCATTTGAAGTTTTGAAAACAGACAGGTTTTTTTTGACATGAGATGGCCATAAAAAGACTTAAAATCTGATTTATTTCTGTTTTTCTCATCCACCTGTCACAGAAACAGTTTATGTAACTTGCTTCATTCTTGACCAAAAGATTTCTTGCTATTCAGAAACTACACCTGGAAAATTTGAGAAGACCTTTTTGGTTGTTTTTCTCTTAGAGTTAAATTTGAGTTGACAAAGTAAAGTATATCTTTGCCTAACTCTGGTTAGACTACTGCATCTATATAATATTTAATATACCAGAAAATAACATATACTGTTATACTGTGTTTTTCATTTAAGTAGAGCAAGAGTGATATGAGTAGTGACTTGTTTTTGACCAAAAAGGGCTGGATTGGATGTAGTGACCTGGAGATGAGATGCTTCATATCACTTTACCAATCACTTTATATATCACTCTTGTCGCAGACAGTTTTCTAGAAACTTTAGTGTTAATGCGTTAACCTTTTTGCACACCATTATTCTTGAAATCTAATAGGTTTCACACATTTGGAGCCTAAAGATCCTTTGTTTCATGGGTGTAGTTGCCACCAGAGTTAAAGGGATTTGCACCATTAATTGGCTTCCCTCCGAATTACTGGTACACAGCCTCTCATAGGTGTAAAATTATTCTCTGTATTATTGACTTCTCTTAAGGACCAGAAGATTGTAGACTCGTGAGTAATAGGTAGCCATCACACTTGATCCTGTAGTCTGCACTAGGAGCAGAGCAGGCCAGGACTGAATGTGTTGTGAAGGCTGAATTCCCTTGTCAGACCTGACAGAATTGGAGTCTGTTTTCTCATTGTACATTTTTGTGTGTTTCCTGCTCATGCCAATGCTTTACTTTTAACTTTTTTTCTTTTTAATATTTCTTTTATTTACATGGGAGCAAGGTACACATCTTACATATGGTTATTTATCTATGCTCAGTGGAGAAGCAGGACAAGAAGAGTTAACATTACAAATCATTTATCTTACTCATATTGTGTCATAGATGAGCAGGCTTTACAAACATATAATAAGACAAGGTACTTTCCCTGAGGGACTTTACAAGCTAGTTAGAATAGATTGAAAATAAAATATGTTATTGTGCCAGTTTGTAGTCCACAGTTTCATATCATCTCCCTCTGAACGTGGATTATCTATTGACTTTTTGTAAAGAGTAGCAGAAAAAAATTGACAATGAATACTGAGGATCTCTGTAAATGAACAAAGTCCTTTCTTGAGCTTTTTTACTGAGTATGACAATTTTGTCAGACTCAAGCTTGTGAAAAAGGTGAAGTGAGGTCATATAGAACTTGCACCGTGTATATACAGTTGCACAAGTGAAACAGCTAAGAGACGTTTACTGTATCAGGCTATAACAGGGGTAGGCAACGTTTTTTGTCCAGAGTGCCGAAAAAACCACAATGTCTACCTTGGAAGGTGCTTGAGTGCTGACATGCTGGAGCCCAGAGCAGCTGTTTGCAGCCTCCTGGCTGCAGCCGGCCCATGGAGCCTGGTCTGCTTGCAGCAGGGCTTGCAGCCTCCCAGCTGCCTGCTGGGAGCAGCCTGGGCTCCGTGGCTGGCAGCAGCTGCTTAGAGCCTGGGCTGGTGGTGGTGTGAGGAGCAAAATGGCCTTGCGTGCCATGCTCGGCATACATGCCAGGAGTTGTTGACCCCTGGGCTATAACAAGGCCTTAGTTGGAGTTTGACTTAATGAGAATGGATGGGAAGACTAAGGTAATGTTGGGTTCCACTCCAACTTCTGACATTAGCTTCCTCTTTTTAGGCATATTACAGAGGACTCAGGGCACGTCTATAGAAGATGTTACTGCGGAGCTGATTAATTAGCTCTGCAGTAAACGTCTTGGCATCTACAAGTGTGCCCCTATTACGGTGCAGGAAACTAACAAACTCCACAAAAGGGTAGTACTTGTAAATACAAATACTGTCCTGCTGCTTAGTGTTTTCATGTGCAGCAGTGCCCGTGTAGACACTGACCTGGCTGGCTGGGTCATTAGTGTGCTTTAGTGCTGGGGCTCCCTGGCAGCTAGCCCCACACTGAAGCATCCTCATGCCCCAGCCAGCTCCTCCACAGCACATTGAGTCTGGTTGGAGCAGCCCTGGGCTGGCAGACTGACTCCCAGGGCCCCCTGGGAGCAGCTGGGGCTGCTCTGGCTGGGCTCCACTTGCTGTGCATGAATAAATTTTGGAGTCAGTTGCTCCAGAGTTAATTGCTCCCAGGTGCATGTTCAAACAGTATGCCTAGGAGTAAAAAACTCAGGAATAATAAGCTCCAGAGTTTATTGATGCGCACTAATTGCATACGTAGACGCAACCTCAGTTCTGCAAAGAATAGTATAGGCTACTGTGGGTGATCTCTGAAGTGAATGAGACTACTCACAGTAGTAAGTATTGTTTCTGGTAGTGTGTACAGGAACTATTCCTTAATTTCTGTCTCAGTTATCCTATCTGTTAAATAACAGCAACAATACATAGTATAAAAACTGTTGTGAAGAAGAACTAGTGACATACCTAAAGTGCTTTGAAGATGAGAAGTGCAAAATACTGTCTTTTTAGAGGCAATAACATAAATGCAAATAAATTCCTATAAAAAGTTTAACGTATAAGCAAGCACTTAAAATGTAGATAAACTTGGGCAAAACTTTTATGGTGGATTCTCCATCACACAATGCATTATTTACTGGACTGATGAATGCGAGGTTTAATTGGGCAGAGTGTAAAATTATCCCTCCTGAACATTCTTTTAACAAGAAATAGTAAGTGATTGTTAACCTTTGTTATGGATGTGTCTGGAAAGAAAACAATTGACTTAACCCTTTCAAAGAAGATCTCTGTTCTCTTGCTGTTAGTAACAGTTCCTTTTTCCTGTGATCAGTAATTATGGAAACAATTTTCTTGGTCTCAGTTCAGTTCCTGTTGGTAAGAAGTACATAGCACAAAACACCAGTACCACAATTGGAGTTTAATTTAATCTGCTGGATAACCTTACCAGTCTCAGCTGGGAATCCTAGGGCTAGATAGACAATGGAGACTTGAACAGTTCCCTCAACTTCATAGGTCCTCCCTCCAGGCCAGGAGTAGAAAAAACAGGTAGGATAGTATGAGGGAAGCTTATCTGGGGTAAGTAGAGGACATCAATGTGCAGGGTTGTCAGTCTCTCACCTTTCACCATCACTACATTTGCAGTTTCAAACTCGCTGTTGGAAAAGGTACTGATGACTCCCTTCTCTTCTCCCTTTCCTCATGTTTTCTCTCTTCCCAGTCTGCGGCAAGCGTTACAAGAATAGGCCTGGACTGAGCTACCATTATGCTCACACTCACCTAGCCAGTGAAGAGGGAGACGAAGCTCGGGAGCAAGAGACACGCTCCTCACCTGTGCACAGAAATGAAAATCACAAACGTGAGTAGTATTTTTCTGTCCCCTTGTTTCCCCCTCCAGTATGTTTTTTTTTCAGGGGGATGTTACTTCCATCCCTATCTATGCATTTCCCCAGGCCCTGTGATTGTACTGCTCCTTTGTGAATGATTGGAACCGGGATGTTTAGTGAAGCTAATCAGCTGCAGCTCACCTTGGTACTGAGCCCAGTCAGTCAAGAATTCATTTAAAACCCAGCATTATCTCTGCAGCAAGTCACTTTTCTATCAGTGCTCCTGTGGGGAGGAGATGACAAGGAGAAAGGAGAGTGGAAGGGGTGCCCAACCTGCCTGTCATCAAACAGCCTCTCCATGATTAGTGTGGAGATCAAGAAAACACACAGTTTGTTTTAGTGGATTCTCTTTGTTGTTTTCTTTGAGGAAAGTTCTTTATTTGCTTCTCAGTTTTTTTGGTATGAAATTCTCTCCTACCCAGGACCTCCTGCACTTCAAACTCCACATTCATACTATCAATCCAGGAAAGTCTCTTGCCTAGAATATCGTGTGCACAAACCAAAAAGGAGAGTGATCACACAGGAAAAGAGAACAGGGTCTCTACTCTGGGGATGCCAAGAGAGGGGGCAGATACAATGTTAGCCAGCACAGGGGCACCCAGTGCTGTCCTTCCTCTATTTTTTTTATAACACAAGACAGGGAGTCAGGGGAGCCAAATTTTACTACTGCCTTTTGCCCAAAGTCTTACGTAGTAATTCAGCCTTCCTGTGCCCAATTGTCTCTATGCTTAACTGTATGTAAAATAATAATCATCAGCATCCCCATTCAGGCACAATGTGCAGATAAAATTCATTTGTTTATTTAATTAATTCAATTAATTAATTTTATAAAGAGCTTTTGGTTCCTTAGATGGGAAATACCATTTTATTTCAAAGTAATTATGGAAAAAAATTATGGACAGCAGAATAAAATGGATATGAGAAATATTTTATGGGTGAATATTTCATCCTTGGGAAAAAGAGAAGGAAACCAGGTCTAGGAAGACATTTCTCTCTTAAGCAGGATAATCCATAATTGTCTTATGAGGGGATGGGGAAGGGTTTCACCCTTCTTGGAAGCATCTGCTGCTGTCCACTGTTTGAGAGATGTTACTGACTGAGATGGATCTTTGGTCTGATCCCACTTGGCAATCCATATGTGTCTGTCACTTTTCTGCACTATCTTTTAAAATTCTATAAAATAGAAGCAGAATTGACTTGTCCAGCTTTTGCTAAATCTGAGCTGCCATGGCTCTGAGGAATGCTGGATCTGGCAGGCTAGTAAATGGCATCATTTGACTTGTTATGACTTTATTTTGTATGTTGTATCTAAATGTGTGTTCTGTGCTTGAAATAAAGTCTGTAATACTTTTTGGGAGGGGTGTTAGGAAACTTAATTACTAAGTTCTGATTTTAGCACTGTGCAAGTAGGCAGACACGAAAGGTTGTTGATCCCCACCTTTCAGCTTGACATGGGGGTGAGGCACAGTCCCAGTTCTAATGCTTCTAATGCTCAGAGATTGATATCATCAGCTTTACCAGGTTTAGAAAAAGGGAGCTGGGATGGAGGGATGAAAGTAAGACTCTCCCTCATTTCAGAGAGCCAGCAAACCTGGGCCAGTGAAGAAGAGAGCGTGCCTGGCTCTCTGAAAAGTGTGCAGCAGGGGCTGCTCTTGCCTCTGGAGGCTTTATGCACGAGGCAGGGAGAAGCTGCTGGCATGCAGCCCCCAACACAGATAGTCACAGCCATATACTTAAATGATCTGGACCCATAAAAGGAAGGATTTCTCTGTTCAATAACTGACCATCACCTGGAGGGGTGGGGGACAGGGACTACATCAAGTGGCGATTCCTGCTGGGGAAAGTCATGGTGAGCTTGGGGAATTGCTCTCCTGATGGTCCTGCCTCAGGATTGGCTGTTTGTTCCCTGTTTCTGCTTGTTTGTGTACAGCCCTGCACCTAGACCTTACATCTTCCCTCCCTTACTTGACAATATTTAATTTATGCCACCATTCATCTTCCATGTGAATGCTAATTGTCCACATTGCTAATGCACAGTCATTAAATGGTCCCTTTGTACATGGAAATGGTGGGGAGCCAGAGCATCATATCCTTCCTTTTCCCTAAGTACTGCTGGGCATGTGTTATGAATTAGATTTGACAGGTCTGCAGTGTCGCAGGGTCTGGGCTTCAAGAATCCTCTCTGCATGGGCTCGTGGGAGGGGGAGGGGGTGGTTAATCCAAACAGCTAATCCGCAACCTACTGAACAGAAGGGCCAGAAGTACAGTAAATAGCAGACTCTGATTATTTCCTTAGCCACATGGCCGAGAAATGCAAGCAGCCCAATTTAGAAAAGGCAAAGCCGATCCCAAACAGCCATTTGGAATTTGCCGTGCTGCAGGAGGTAAGGATTGGGCAGCAAGGTTCTGGCAGTCTGCTGCAGCATGAACTTCCTTCCATTTTAGCTCCTTTGCTCCTCTCATGTCTCCTGTGTCACTGCTGCCCATAGCCATACCTGCAGTTACAACAGCCTTCCCAGCGCAGAAGGAGCCTCTTTGGAGCACAGTCTCTGCCAGATTCAGCTATTGATCTCCTGACTGGTGCCAGCAAAACAGCTTGATGGCCTCTCTGTCTGTCTGTCTCTCTCTCTCCCTCTCTTCCCTCCGCCCTATTCTCTCTGCCTTCCTGTCTTTACTCCCTTTATCACCCCCAAGCCATTTTGGGTTGCTGAGGGACTTAAATAAAGGAGATTTGCATAGGAGCAGCTTAATTTGAACTGCTGGGCTCTGATGGATTTGTCGCAGAACAACAACAAGCCTAGGTGGGATGTTCCTTTTCCCCTGGACATTTCACTTCCTTCAGTATTTCCTTCAGTTTCTCAGCCCCAGGGGTGTCATGCTGGACACGGTGCATCCCTGTGGCTGGAAGCTCTGTCAGCTGACAGGGCTCTCAGCCGCAGGGAGACCCTGCTGCCTGTGCAAATTAAAGCTCGGTAGCAACTAGCTATAATGTTGCTACACATTTTCTAACTTTATAGCTGGTTGGAGCTTTTTATTGTCTAATAAGTACTTTGTGTATGTTTTAAGGTAACTGTACAATTAACCAGTTAATTGCACAATACCTGTAATGTGTAGAGGGGCCTAAGTCTCAGGTAAGCTCAATTCTTTGATACCATGGCATGTCCCTTCTTTGGAGTCCAAACTTGTCTCAGTCCAAAGTAGATTTGCTACTCTTTCTGCTTGCAAAGTGGTGTTGACCAAGTATGAACACTTGAAAAAGACATTCTGGGAACTTTTAAAAACCAAATCAACCCATTGCCTGACATTAGAATGAAATTGTCCCACATCATTTCAAGCCTCTTCTTCTGCTGTCTTTATCCCATGATTCTTCCACTCAGCGCATGTTCCAGTATGCCTAGCATCAATTCTGTAGTTATAAACTGACACTTGGGGGCAGCTGGCACCTGCAGATTTTGAGAGGCTTTTAGAGTGGGATTTTTGTTAACTAAATATCTGTCTATTGCAATCTATATATGAATGAATGTGATAGTATAGAGCTCATATCTTTCCCAGAGGAACAGGGCAGTCTGTTCCTGTGTGTAAGGACCGAATCTTCCTTTTCTTTGAAGGGGAGTGAGTCACCTGTATAAATGGAAAAGTGTATGTGGCAAAATGCTTTCTTGAAATTAAAAAAAAAGAAAAAGCTTTGGGGTAAATTTACAAGATTAAAAAAAAAAGTACCTAATAGCACTGGCTAAAGTCAACAGCATGCAGATGCTGTGCAGACCACATGCATACCCACGCACATCTCTGCCTATGGCACTCCATACTGTTGCAGGGATTCTGCACTCTTGTGCTGGTGCACTTTACTCCAGACTTGCTACATGCTCAAATAATGATAGTGAAGTCTCCCAATTCTTTTAAGATTAAATTTGACCTGTATCACTACTTGCTGTTCAAGTTCAGAGCATCCATCAACCATACCTTCTTGTTGGGGAGTTTTTGTGTTGTAGACACATCTCTACTGCAGAGATCAGCTGATGCCATTTGTGTATTCCAAGCATAATTGGATACCCAGTCTCCAGAGATAAAAAATTAATGTACTAACCTCACTGTGCCTCCAAGCTGTCCTCCAGCTCCCCCACACAGTCTTCTTTGAAACATTTTTATTTCCATCCATGCAGGGGGTTGGGGATGAATAAATGACGAGAGTCAGCCCCTCAGTTGGAGATGAGCTGTTTGTTCCTCTCCACAAGCAGCATCAATTTGAAAAGCTACATCAGGCCTCCTTTTCTCTGCCTCAGCACTGTTCCTCACTGGGGACATGATAGGAGCTACATTTGAATGCAAGAATGCTCCAACACCCACCTTGCTACAGGAAATCCTACAGCAGGTGCCTTTTCAGAAAGCAGCTGTATCTTACCCTGATTTGCTGTCTCATTAGTTTGTTTAATTTTTCTTTCTTTTCCTTTGTTGGTTTTCATAAAGGAATGAATATAAATATGATTTTAAAATAAAATATAAGGCAGCCATTGGTATTACAGAAGTAGTAATGTCTCCTTTAGAACAATTTTCATCCAAACCCTCTGTTTGTCGTTGCACATAACTTTCTCAGGCCTTAATCTTTTGGGCTGAAATGTTTCATGCCTATTTTGTGAAAATCTAAGGGAAACCCATGCAGCTATTTGGAGGATCAGAAAGGTGAAAAAAAACCAAACCTTTGTCCATTATACAAAAAAATTCTTGTGACCTTTTGCTTCGGAGCAGCTCTACAGCTGGCATGGCTGGAGGCTGAAATTTTGTAGAGAAAGTAGCCCTCCTTAAGGAGAAATGCTTATGACTGTTCTGCAGGAAACTGGCTCTAATTTGATTGAGCACTTTGCCTATAGAAGCCATATCCTTTTCTCCCCCCTGTCAGAGCTCTCTGTATGGAACATTCTTACATTTATTGTAACCATTTTTCTTCTTTCACCTTTCTGCTCTTTTCCCTTAA